TACGGAGGACTCTAGAGCTGGATGCAGTACTCCAGGTGGGGTCTCACTAGAGTGGAGTAGAGGCACAGGGTCAACTCCCTCAACCTGCTGGCCACATTTCTTTTGATGCAGCCCAGGATACAGTTGGCTTTCTCGGCTGCAAGTGCACATTGTCAGCTCATGTCCCACTTTTCATCCACATCCCTTCATCTCCCAGCCTGTATTGATGCCAGGGGTTGCCCTGACCTATGTACAGGACCTTGCACTTGTCCTTGTTGAATGCATGAGGTTCAGATAGGTTCACTTCTTGAGCTTGTCCAGGTCCCTCTGAATGGCATCCTGTCCCTCAGGTGTGTCAACCACAACACTCAGCTTGGTGTCACCTGCAAACTTGCTGAGGGCACACTCAATCCCACTGTCTATGTCACTGATGAAGACATTAAACAGCACTGGTCCCAGTATGGGCCCCTGAGGGACAACACTCATCACTGATCTCCATCTGGACAGTGAGACATTGACTACTACCCTCTGGATGTGACCATCCAGCCAATTCCTTATCCACCAAACGGTCCACCCATCAAATCCATATGCTTCCAGTGTTGTGGGGGATCCTCAAAAGCTTTACTTACAGAAGTCCAGATAGATGATATCTGTAGCTCTTCCCTTGTCCACTGATATAGTCACTCCATCACAGAAGGCCACTAGTTTGGTCACACACTTGCTTTTGGTGAAGCCGTTCTGGCTGTGTCAAATCACCTCTCTGTCCTCCATGTGCCTTACCATAGTTTCTAGGACAATCTGTTCCAGGATCTTCACAGGCATAGAAGTGAGGCTGACAAGTCAGTTGTTCCCAGAGTCCTCCTTTTTACTCTTTTTCAAAAATGGGTGCAATGTTTCCCTTATTTCAGTCATGAGGAACTTCATCTGACTGTCATGACTTTTCAAATATCATGAAGAGTGGCTTGGCAACTATATCAGCCAATTCCCTCAAGACTCTGCCATGCATCTCATCAGGTCTCATAGACTTATGTATGGTCAGATTCCTCAGGTGGTCACGAACCTGATCTCTTGCACTGTGAGAGACTTTGGTCCCCAGTCCCTGTCTTGCGGTTCATTCACTTGAGAGGTGTGGGAAGAGAGTTTTCCAATGAAGACTGAGGCAAAAAATTTGTTGAGTACCTCAAGCTGCCTTCTCATTCATTGTTTCCAGTTTGCCAGTCTTGTTCATCAGGGGGATATGCTGTCTTTGACCTTGCTTTTCTGGCTGACATACCTGTAGAAGCCCTTGTTATTATTCTTTGCATCCCTTGCCAAATTCAGCTCCAACTGCATCTTGGCCTTCCTCACCCCATCCCTACACAACTGGTCAGTGTCCCTACACTCCAGAGGATACTTGTCCATGCTTCCTCTGTCTGTGCATCTCCTTGCGCCCTTTCATTTGACCATCAGGTCTTATCTCAGCCATGGTAATCTCTTGCCTTTCTTTCCTGATTTCTTACATCTGGGGATCAAGAGCTTTTTTGCTCTGTGGAATGTGTCCTTAAATATCTGCCTGCTCTGTTCTGCTCCCTTGTCCCTGAGGGCAGTCTCCCAGGGGATCCTATTGACTAACTCCTTGAACAGCTGGAACTTTGCTTTCCTAAAATTCAAGGTCCTGACTTTACTCTTTGCGTGACCCATTTTCCTCAGGACTGCAAACTCCATCAGTGCATGATCGCTGCAGCCGAGGTTGCCTCCAAGCTTGACATCATTGATTGGTTCACTTGTGTTGGTGACCAACAAGTCAGTCAAGTATTTCATCCCCTCTGGCAGGGCTGTCTATTGCCTCGCTTAAGAAGTTATCCCCAGTGTATTCCGGGAGCCTTCTGGGTTGTCTACAGCTTGCAATACTACTTTTCCAGAAGATGTTGGGGTGGTTGAAGTCCCCTAGCAGGACAAGAGCCTGTAAGCATGAGACCTCCTGTAGCTGGAGTAAGAAGGCTTCATCAACAGGCTCCCCTTGATCAAGCAGCCTGTAGTAGCACCAACCACAAAGTTCCCTCTGTTGCCTTGGTCTCTAATTCTTATCCATAAGAATTACAACCTGCTCATGGCTATACTTCAGAGACAGCTCTTCACACTCTATCCATTTCTTGATGTAGAGGGCAACCCCTCCACTCCTGCTTCCTTACCTATCCCTTCTGAACAGCCTGTAGCTATAGATAGCCACACTCCAGTCATGGGATTGGCCCCACCAAGTTTCAGTAATCACAACTAGGTCATAACTTTCTAGCAGTATGGTGGCTTCCAGCTCCTCCTGTTTGTTGCCCATGCTGCATGCATTGGTGTAGAGGCACTTCAGCTGGGCTGTTGACCATGTGACCTTCTTAGAGGAACACCCCTTAGTAATTAAGATAGCCACCCTTAATACCCTCTGCATGCAATGAAAAGAAAGAGGTACTTTTATATCTCGCTTTATCCCTCTTGTTTTAGACAGCTGCTATAAGAAGTGTTTAGGTCCCTAAAAGTGCTTATTTCTTTCCAGTGGTTGTAAAGAAGATCTAAGCAATTACTATAGGCATCTAAGTTTGATTAGATGAATAGCAATCCAGAGAAACATTCACATGCACAGGGAGTAATAGAAATCAGGATCATAACTCTGGAAAGAAAGTAATCTCAGTACTGGAAATGCAGCCAGTGGTGAGTATGCTACAAATGCTCATAGGTCAGTGAAAAGCAAATACTGGCCACAGTAAAGTGACAATTTAAAAAAAAAAAACCCAAAACCAAAACATTAAGAATGGACAGAAATTGCTAGACCACAGGTATTTAGCCACTGTTATTTCATGTCTAGCGAAAGGCAGTGAAGATGCAGCTCCATTAACTCGTTTGTATCTCCTGGTGATTCATACCAGAGTTCAGAAGGAAAAGAATAGCTTCGGCAATTTTTGAGTGGGTCTTAGAGGAGCCAACATGACTCAAACCTGGTTGTATAAATAAATCTTTCCATAACATTGAATATAATTTTTTAGTCTTTTAATATTCTGTGTGGGTGTTTATAAAAAAGGGAAGGGTTACTATTAGATATGGCAATGTCCACACACATGTTTTCATGCACATGTTCACAAAAAACAGAGAAATAATAGAATATGAATTTTAAAAATGAAATATAACTCCATGGCAACGATATTTGTAGGAGGTGAAGGACAGAATACAAGATTTCTATTAAATAAATCATAATTTATTACACATGCCTGTATTTGGATGCCCAGTTAAGTACCTAATTACATGAAAAATGCAATTGCTATGTAAAGTGATGTTCATTTTCAAGCACACCTGCTGAGTTTAGGGTTGTCATTTGGGTACCTGCTCAGTTGCATGCTGTTGTACACCACCTGCAGAAAATATTTGTGTGCCTGTCAGGAGTTTGGCACAGGTTATTAGTGAAGAAAACCATTGCTTTGCAGGTTCAGAAGGCAGTCTCATGGTCTATCCAACATAGCTGACAAATTTCATTATGATTCCTAGCTGGAGCTCTGGCAGTGAAGCTTTTTTGTTTTGATGAGGGGATGTGCAGGGAGAACCCTTTTTCTGCTCAGACTAGATGCTTTTGATTTCTTGAATTTCAGCTCCAGTTGATGAGTCCTCCCCTATGCTCACCTACATTTTTTTTTGTTCTTTTCTCTACTTCCTTGACACATGCTGTATGCCATTAGAGAGCAAAAAATACTACTAGAACTTCTATTTTTGGTGTTGGTCCATTTGCTTTGTTGATTATCATCCTAACTGTCAAAGAAGTGAAATGGCATTGCTTTGCAGTACCTGTGCTCCATAGTACTAGCTTTCACATTGTTCTTTGTTTCCTTGACAGATAGAAACTGTTTCTGTTTTTCCTCATGAATGCTTTATGTGTGATACTGAGCAGCTCACAGTGACAGCTAAAACATAGCCAAGTGGCACTAAAGGACATTTCTCAAATGTATTTCTTTGCCCTTTCTTCACACTGAAGATGTTAATGAGACTACGTATATTTTTCTATGGGGGATAGGTTCTTTACTGCTCAAATATCTCTACACTCTTGCAAATATTACTTAGGTGACAGAAAGTGTGGATTCATTCTAGGAAGAGTCTCTGAGTTCTTTTACAGCTTTGCCTTTAACATATTATTAAAAAAGAGTCTTGGACTAAAAGCAATATTGTCTTACATATTCATCCAGTTTATTCTAAATTGCAGGGAATGAGGTTGAGGAAATGGAGCATTATATGACTGTGCTGTCAAGGGGCAAGTGAACAGTGAGAGAGGGCATGTAAAGAGACAGGGAAAAGCTAAAAATGAGGTGGAGCAACAATTTATTTTCAAGGAACTGAAGCCTAAGAGCTCTAAAGAGGACTTTGCAGCTGTACTGATTTAGAATATAGTTCAGTGAAGTACTAGATGTTGGAGCTGATAGAAACTTTCTGGAGAAACATAAAGATTTGAAAGACTGTAAATATTTTGATGAAGATGGTTAAACTTTCAACAGGTGCCAGGCAGCAGGATGGTTCTTGCTGGTTGGTGGTGCGCCGGTTCCCTGAGCAACTGCCTTTCTGGCCTTCTCATTTTCATCCATGAATACATTTGCAAGTATAGAGATCTGTAAAATATATTGCACACACAAGCTCAGCTTTATTCCAGTATATGCCTATGGATTAAAGTCGAACTGACTGAATTAAATAGGAAAATTGCAAATACATTAAATGGTGTCTAGTTTTGTGTATGCATTTGTACACAACAGAAGATGTTGTGTATTCATAAGAAGCTGAAAAGCTATCATTCATATGTAGGTATATATCAGCTAAGTACCAATGGCCCAATCATGTTGTTTTGTTAGGCAAAAATAACATTTTCAATATCTTCTTAGGATGATAGCATTTTAAGTGTATTTTTACTCTCCATTTACATACTAACTACACCAAAAGGAAATAAATTGAGTAAGAGGAACTGCATCTGTGTACATATTTAATCCCTTCTCTCTCCTTTTTTTTTTTTTTTTCCCACACAGAGATTGAAAGATTTAAAACAAAGGGAATTTGCTCGAAATGTTGCTTCAAAGTCATGGAAAGATGAGAAGAAACAGGAAAAAGCACTCAAGCGTCTCCACCAGCTTGCAGAGTTACGGAAGCAGTCAGAATGGCAAGTATTTAAAATTTATATTATGTTTTAATGCCCTCTTTCCTCAGTCCCAGAAGAAATCTCCATATTTTTACTCCTACACTCTGTAATGTGCAGAGACTGTGTATACTGTAACCAGTTTTCAGCTGTCCCAACTCCAAATGTTCCTGTTCTGCAAACCATAAAATTGAAAGCCCCTGAATTAATTACTTGCTATTTGAAGGTCTGTGTTTTTCTCCCCTGTAGCTAGTTAATCTCATCTCTCCTGAACTGAGTGGTTTGAAGATGTTTTTATAATATCACTATTTTACCTTATTAAAACTGACCTGAATAGATTAGTATAACTGTCTTATCATTTGATAGTAAGTGAACAGGAGAGGAAAAACACCTTTTAAAGCATCGGTACTGAGTCTGTGAATCATTTTCACTGCTTTTAGTATACTGAGATTATTCTCACAGTTTTTCTGTAGAGTAATGGAAGTATCATTATATGAATGAAAAACAAGTAATTAACTGAGTTAAGTTTATCCAGTCCTGTTATGTCTATTGATGAATATCAAGATACAATAGCAAGTTTGCACTAGTAAGCCTTTACATTTCAGAAATCTCCTTTGTTTAATAACACTGAATGCTTCACTAGAAAAGATTGCCACCAGACCAATTGTTTATGTTAATCTATGACCATAATGAGATAAGTAGATAATTAAATTGACATCCTTTTAAATTTGTATCAAGCTCTTACTGTACCCTGGAAATAATGGCATTGGAGTTTATTATATACTCATTTTGGCCTATGTAATTGCTTGAGTAATCTGCTGAAATATAACAGTTTAGTGCTAATGTATCACTTTTATGGTTACAACTCCATTTTCATACAAATCTGAAAGAAATGTAACCACCTGAGGGAAGATGCCTTTATGCCCAAGCACATGATGATGTAGTGTCAGATAGATAGACCAATAAGGTCGGTGAGAATAGGAAAACCAGAGTGAGACTGGGAAGGAAAAAGCAGGTTTGCTTTTAGAAAGAGCCATGAATCCGTAATACTTAACAAAGAGCCTGGAAAGACAGTGCTCACTATTCCTGTTTGTAGTGACTAATATGTTCAGGGGTGGCTGTGATCTTGGTGGAGGGGTAGCATTCCTAGTTGCCCAGGCAAGACAGAAAGTCAGCCTTTCTAAGCAAAAGTCTACACACACACACACACACACACACACACAAAAAAAAATACACACTTGTTATTGTCCCCAAGTACTGCATCTCAGGTTCCAGCAGAGTTCCTTACAACAAGCTAATACAATCTGACAAAAAAATTGCTGTTAATCTTGTGCACAGAAAAATTGAAAATGCAGCTTTATTTTGCTGTTCCAATGAGACTTTGAAAAGGATCTCTTTACACGCCTTCTCCACGAAATAATTTCTTCTTGATGTACAAATAAGGGTGAATTTGTTTCTCCTGATACCAAATTTGTGGCAAATGCAAAGATATTCTCAGAAATGCATACATATTCTCATACTCCAAGTTGACCCTACTCCAGGGAGTATATATCATTCCCATTGCTGAAGATCAATGCATTTTTATAGTATTTATAAAACATGCTAGCTTATTTATAGATAGCTGTTACACAGATCTGATAGTTGTAATTAATTTATAGTTAATTAAAATATTTTCTAACTTTTAATCAAACTCTTTACTGCAGCTGTTTCCAAAATTTTTTCATGTAAGTGTACTGTAGTACTGCATTGATAGCAAATGTAGATAATTGGTCTAATAATATGCATGTTTAAAATATTACTTGGAATAATATTTGTATGGTGGCTATATATGTCTCATCTCTAATGGAAAATGGGAACAGTCATTCCAATCTCAGTTAATTATCTGCTGCAAGAAGTCAATGATTTACCATGTTTGTTAAGGCCTTCTTATAATAGGTTGATTTATGTTTTTTTTTTTAAAGTACAAGAAAACTAAACCACATATTTAAAATCTGACAGGTTTTGGGAAGAGGAAAAATTAGTGAAAGTAGAATACTGAAAGAGAAAATATGGCAAAGTAAGTCAAATGGTGGTTGATAATGAGAACACTGAAGTTGCCATTATTATTGATGGAAATCCATCTTGTGTCCTTTTCCCCACCAATGTTTGGTGATAGTTTTAGCATTAATATCTCTTTGAATATTTCACAAAGTCATGTACTGTGGAATAATATAAAGATAAAATAAAAGTCTACTCTTTAAAAAAATCATACATACACCCCCTCAAGCAAGTAGAATGCTGACTTTTCCCTTACAGAGTTAGATTCTGCACAATTTCCTTTGCAGTGGCCTCTCAGAAAAACGAGACTTATAACAGACCAGGTTGTCCTTGATATAAATTCAGAATAAAGCCAATATTGTTTATTCTGGATGTACATGGGCATAACTCTGAAAAAGAGCTTTCATGTGCTGGCTTCAAATCATATAATTTCCTGTATGTAAAGATTGTCTTGCCCATATAAAAGCCCAAGCTCAGGGCTAGACCCCTTAGAAACTTTAGAAATTTAGTTTTCCCTTGTAACTGCATTACTGATACACTTCTTTACCAGGCAGACTTCTTCAAATGTGAGTTTTGTCTTGTTTACTTAATAGAGCTTTCCTGTTTGTTTGTTGGGTTTTTTTGTTTTGTTTTGTTTTGTTTTGTTTTTTAAATTTATTACCTTACAGTATCACTGGAAGTGGACCATTGCTTAAAGCCCCCAGATTAGTCATGGAAAAGCAGCAATCACCAGATGGCATTTTCTTGTACAAGGGCAGCAAGTTCACAGCAAGTTCTCAAAGAACTGACAGGAATGAAGGACAAGGTTTCTCCAGCAGTGTACTAGAGAAACAGCAATTTCTCATAAGCAGGCACCAGCCCCCTACTGAAAGAACCCGTACACTTGGAAATCAAGTCTCACATGCATTCCCAGATAACACAAATACTTCTCCAAGGGCAGGAGTGTCTTTCTCATTCTCTAAAAAAGTCCCTTTGAAGCTCGAGTCTTCAGCATCGGTCTTCAGTGAGACATCTGAAGAAGGAAATGATTGTAGTGAATCTCCCAACCATAAAACAAAGCAAGGTCTTGAGGGCTGTCGTTCTGGCACACTTTTGGAGGAGGATGTGAAAGTGAGCTTGGATAAAGTGCCATCTATTACACAAGACCAATTGGATTTGGATAACAGTGCATCAAGTCATGTAGCTGCAAAACCTAAAATGCTAAAGGAGAGTGATAAAAGTAGTGATAGAGAATTAGAAGAAAAGGTCAGTGCTCATCCTTCATTTTCCAAAGTCAAAATACAGCTTTCAGATTTGGATTTTTCTGGTTCACTTAGAGAAATAGAGCAAGAGAGCCAATTGAACGAGTCTGAGCAATTGATAGAAACTCTCATTTCACCTTCATGTCACGCTAGCAGTTTTTGTACACAGCTGAACACCTACAAGCGCAGGAATGCCCACCTTCCTGACCAGTTACCTGAGCTCCCACAAGAGCCAGCACCTGAGCTGGCATGCACAAGCAACATTAATGACAGTCCTGGGGTGGTAAAAAGAGAAAGATCTTTGGAGAGTTCAGAAACCACAAATGGGAATATAGAAACACTGCCAAGGCAAACCATCGTTAAAGAGGTTAAGCCCCAGTCATTGCCTTTCCTCCATGTAGTGAGCAAAGATGGCACCACTGCTCTGCAGTGGCCCACAGAATTACTTTTGTTTACAAAAACTGAACCCTGTATTTCATACGGCTGTAATCCATTGTATTTTGACTTCAGACTCTCTTTAAATCACAAAGATAGTAAACAGCATGAAACAAACAAAGCAAGCTGTGAAGAGCACTCTATAAATAAGACTGCAGATGAAAATGAAGCCTCAGGTTTAATAAAACACAAGCAAATGTCAAATGAACAAGATAATCAGTTGTTGAAACCAAAGAAGATGAAAGGTTCCCTAAATCCAAGAAAGGCCAAGCAAAAATCTGAGTTAGATATAGGCAAAGAAATGAATGAAAATGGTCAAAAATGCGTTGAAGATTATTTGAATGAAAATATACCCAAAGTGCCTGGTTACCTTGATGTCTCACAAAAGGATTATATGACAGGAAAAAGTCTTCATACAACACTGAGAAGACCTTTAAAGCATCATTTTCATAGCTGTGAAAGAAAAAAACGGAACATCAGAAATGAAAGCATTTCCTTTTCTGCTTTTATGTCTAGGATTAAAAAGTCTAAAGCTGCAAAATGTCATTTAGTTTATTCCAAGGAAAAACGTGAAAACCAAAATGACTGCAGATCCGTTCAAGATGTGGCCAGCTGCAGCAGTGACGTAAGTGACAGTGGAAAAGACTCTAGTGGAAGTTTCCTTAGTTACAAATCAAGTTCAAACAGCAAGTATTCAGAAAATGAAGGATGTGGAAATTTAATGAGATGCTGGAGATTCCCATCTCCTCAAAAATCCTCCTCTGACAGACATTCCAGCTATTCTGACACTTCAGTTAGCAGTACAAGTAGTTACATGAGCTACATGAGTCCCACATCAAACAATCACAGCAGAAATAATTTGCTTTTTTATTGTAAAAGGAAAAGAAAGACAGCTGAAAGGCACAAATGTAAACACACAAAGCACAAGTGTATTTTCACTTCTGATGATACAGATGAGGATTATCTTTGTCATAGTAGGAATCACAGGACTAGAAACTGTACACAGAGGGGCACAATTAAATACCGAAGATGTTCAAGGCATAAAGTTTTACAACACGGAGACAGATCTAAACAGAGCAGACACAGACACCAGCATCTGGGCAAAGGGCATAGTAGAAGTAGAAGCTATCATAGCTCCAAAAGTTGTTCCACCAGAGATTCAAGAAGCAGTGAAAGATCATCTGGTAGCAGAATATCAAGAGGCAGCAGTTCAGGATCCCTCTCAAAAGAGACTGACAACTGTGACAAAACAAACGAGGATACAGAAAGAGGTTCTAAAACTGAACTGGGAAGAGCTGAAACTGCACATTATGAATCTCTGAATGTGAATGGTCAGTCAGAAAACTTTTCCACCTGCTCTTCTAAAACCCTGGAAAAAGGCATATGTGGAAAAAGAAAGTCACTGACAGCCAAGTTACTTTTAGAAAGAGTGCAGTCCAAGAAAACCCAGGAACAAATGCGTGATTCAGAGAGATTTTCAAACATTTGTGGGGGAGAATTAAAGGACCACTCACAAAGTCACTTTGCTCTCCAGTTTTCAGCAGCAGCAGATGACATTGCAATGTTACCTGTGCAAGAGAAACTTCTAAGCATAGATGAAAATGACATGGGGCATAATGAAAGAAGTTTGTCGAAAACCAGTGTGAAGAAAACCAACTTTGAAGCATCAGAGATAACTAATGTTGCTCTTTCAACAGGCACTGATTATGATCATTGCCTTTTTAAAGACATCATTCAAATAGGAACAGGCTATCAGAGCCCGAGCATAAAAAGGAACACAGCAATAAAGGAACAATCCAATCTCTTCATTAGTGAAGTGCAACCCTTTATACAAAGCTGTGACCCGGTACCAAATGATTTCCCTGGTGCTTTTCTCCCTAATAGATATTCTGTTGTTGCTAATTCAACAGAGACCAAAGAAGAACGACATGATGTAAACATGGACTCAAACCAGGCAGAAGGCAGTTCAAACTCTCTTTGTGACAATGCTATGCAGAAGTATGATGACACAGTAAATGACCTAGAAGTGTACAGTAAATCCACCTCCTCTCCTTTAACGCAGCAGCCTATCACGTTTTCACCAGAGGAAGTAGATAAATACAGGTTGTTGCAGCTGCAAGCCCAGCAGCATATGCAGAAACAGCTTCTGGCAAAACACCTGAAAGTTTTGCCTGCCCCAGGACCAGCTGCCTTCTCTGCAACACCAGCAGTTCCTGCCCTCCCTGTTCAGCAGCATGCTACTGTCACCACCATTCACCACACACTGCTGCAACGTTTTGCTGTCTCAGCATCTGTACATCCCCATGGCAGCCATCTCTCCCTGGCACACCTCCACCCCCTCTCTCAGGCACATTTTGCCCCCGTATCACTTTCCCCATTAGCACCAGCCCTCATTCCCACCCACCCTGCTTTGCTGACAGGACATCCACTGCACTTGGTCTCCACCACACCCCTCCAGCCTTCCCCACTGACCTTCCCTGTACTGCCACACACTGCATATATCCCAGCCTTATTTACACCACACCTGAATGCAGCCACACCTTCTGCCATACATCCAAATCCCTTAGTTCATCCATTATTCCAAGGGCAAGAGCCCCATCATCATTCTTGCTCTAGCCAGACCCAACAGTTACCCACAATAAAAGAAGTTTTCAGTGTTTCTAGCTATTTAAACTAGCCCCCAAAATTACACTATGGCTCCAAACCCAAATTTTAATAAAATAAATTATTCAATGTTTAGTCATGTGTCTGAGGGGAAATGTACTGCTTTGCTGAGAGCACAATGACAAATATTTTAAAGGCCACATTCTGGCTGACAGCATATGAATGTTGATTTAGTTCCCATATCACTGGGTAAAAGCTGGTTTAAAGCCTTTTATGATACTGTTACAAGGAGGATGGGGTCCAACTAGTATCATTCGAAAGAAGGTTTGGAAAAAACAACCTGAAGTAAAGTTTGTGATTATCAGTAGGAATGGGACCACAGCACCCAGGTATCATGTGACCAAGAATATCAACACTGATGAGTGACTTGAAGTAGCGCAATTTAAGGTAGAGCAATCTTGACACACCTCCAAGGTTTGCTTTTCTGAGTGTGTATATGCAACGGCATTGTACTTGGTCTAGTTAAGGTATTTCAGACAGAGCAAAAAAGAGGGTATCTGGGACCACAAGTTCCTGGTTCTGTCTCCTGGCCAAAATAAACTGAGGAGCCTCAGAGTGAGGGGTGATACCACTGGAAAAAGAGGTACAATAACATCTCAAAGATAACTTTAGTGATTTTATCCCTAGGCTATGCTGCTTGGATGGTGTAAAGGGACTGCAGTCTTGTCACAGGTACAGAACAAAAAATTCCCTTCGTGTAAGGGAGCTCTGCACTGGCACAAGCAAGCTGCTGTTTTTCTTCCTGAGCCAAGCATCCAAGAAAGCAAGGGAAAGAAGGGGATGAAGACAAGTTCTTTGGCATTGCCTGTCTGTGGCTGTAGCATAGGGTATGTCAGTGGTGGGCTGCAGCAGCCCAGAGCTGCTAAGCAGCTAGTGCTGGCTTCGAACATTAGAGGTCCTTGGCTAAAACTGCAACACTTCTTTCCTACCAAACAGAGCTCTGACGTGTGGGAAAGTCTTGCTCAAAGAATGTGTAAATATGTTTTACCCCTTTCACAAACAACAGGAACAATTGGCTGGTCCTATAAAATTCTGATATTCATAATAAAGCAGAAGTAAAATTCTGAGTGGCTCTCTAGGTCAGGTATCATATAAAACCATATCACAGTTCTCATCATATACATCAAGGTATATTGAATCTAAACAAATATGTCAAGATTCCTGCATGGCTTCCCAAACTCTCAACATACAAACTGAAGTTCTGAATCTGCAATGTTTGAATGCATGTATCCAACCTTCAGGGTAATGCGTGGTTAAAATTGCTAGTAATAACTGTGTATCTGGAAATAGGTGAGGGCTTCAGCACCTCTTTGAATGGCACATTTTGACTATTTTTATAATGTTTCTAATTCAATGTGGGATATTTAGCATGAAATTAAGTTCATGGTTAGTGTGCAGGCATGATTCCCAATATAATTGGACAGTGAAGTGTCTGACAGACAGTACCTGTTTGTTTGGATTAGAAACATCTGAAATAATTTAAATTATTTTGCAATAATGTAGTGCACAATTAATAATGTATCTTTCAGAATCGATGTAAAACATATTTAAAAATTTTTGGAGGATTTTATTCCATTATATCTGGCTATCTGAAGAAACTGAGAAAACTAATTGCAAATGAGTTGGATATTTAAAATACATTTTAGGACCAATTTTCTAACTAGATTGATCCATTACAATAGAATGGAATTGTTTTAATTTCTAAAAGCAGCTGCTTCAGCATAAACTGGTATTATGCCAGACTTGTCAACTGGCATTACAAGTTGTGACTGCTTGTTTTGTATTTGCAAAGTTAAAGTTTCTTTGAATACTGAATATTTTATCCATCAAATAAAAAATGTCAACAAAAAAATATAGAGACTGAGAAGAAGCAAAACATTTTTATATTAAAAAAGGTTAGCAGAGCCAGCACCCTCAAATAACTTTTGGTTGGAATTCCAGCTGATTTATTAATTTCATTAACAAAATGGATCCATGCCATTTTGGAGTTACTTATCTTTATGGTTTAATTTTCTCATTTTAATTGTAGGGAATTATCCTTTCATTTCTGGCTGAAAATCTTCCCAAATTTAGATCTGAATTTACATATTATTTCCATACTTCTGAAAATGTATTTTATCAAAAATATTTCACTGAATGTGACTTAACACCTCTGAAAATTAGTACTTGCTTACTTGGAAGGAGATCCCTCACTCAGTGAACCACTTGGAAATATTACTTACATTCTGCAGAAAAACTCTGAATTGGATGTTTTAAAGGAGCAGGTCAACCTGTGCCCTAGAAGAGTCTGACTGAACTGCAGTTCAGGGCTAATACCAGCCTAAAGATGAATTACCAGTCCTACAAATCTTTACATTTATGGGCCCAGTTCCATTCCTATTCAAGAAAAAAACAGCTGTTCTCATTGTATATAAGATTCATTTGTACCCTAAGTAGATAACACCAAGACAAAAAAATGGAACAGAAGAAATGACAGACTAGTCTCATCTTTAATGTGTATACACACATTTTCTCTCCTTGCTTCTTACAGGGTTAATATTGTTGAAATTCCTATGGCAAGAATCCTGAGCAACTGAAACTTAATATCCTACTACACAGATCATTTATGGGAAATATGTATGTTTCCCTTACTGTATGCACAATACAATGGGATTCTAGGAAGGAACCAAATCATAGGATGTCCATGCACCATTGAATTCCAACAAGGATGATCTGTTAAGTCAAATGAATAGACAATAAAGATTAAATTTAATTCTTGGAACAATGGGAATTAGGATTTTGAGAGGTATTGATGGAAAAAAGATAGATTAAGAAGGAACAGAAACAGCACAATAGCAAAACAGCAATCGTTGACTACCAACAAATGGAATGTCCAATATTGTTCTTAGTACACAGAAGGGATTTTCTTGGAGAAATGTTATAAAATTGTTAGCACAGCTGAGATCGTATATTTGCTCTACTTGCATTTGTTTTTCACCAGTAATGTACTTTAAATATGTATCATTACTATTAAAAGCCTGATGGATGGAGCCGTGCTACAATTTTGATTTTATTTAGACTGGTTTTCTAAAGAGTTACAATATCCTGGTGGCAGTGATATATACACTCCAAGTTAATTATCTATTTTAGCTTGATGGTATGTTCTTGATATATAATCCAAGGAAACAGGTTACCCACACTGTAAAATTCCAATTTAAAAAGTTTCCTGAGTTAAAAAATGATAAAATGTTTTGGGGTTTTTTTCATAACTGAGGCACTTCTGGAATACATTTAACATGTATATTTGTTGTTCAGATTTTAATAAAAATATCATTTGACCAGATTGATTTTAAAAGTGTTAAGTTTGTATTTAAAACTGGATAATACTCTGGCTAGTATAATATGTAAAGTAGTAATTTTGTTTTGTATTCTCTGTATAAAGTGTTTTATATTATACAGTAGCTAAGTGAATTGCACTATTGTACATGCAGCGCGCCTTTTTTTTTTAGGTTATTCAAGGAATTCCTGGGAATGTAGTTTAATGCAATAATATTTTTTTTTTTTCAATAAAAAGGCTTACTGGTATAAAGAGTGTCAGTCATGTATTTTTAATGTAAAGCATACCAAAAGACAGCAGCATAATAAAATGCAGAATAATGCAAACATATTCTGTATTTTAATTTGCAGAACTGAAATACATTTACTTCGTCCCTGTGGCTATAAACCTGAAATTTCTTAGAATGTTTCCTAAAGATTTTAGTATGTGTTAAAAAAGTGGGTTGTTTAAATGGAACTGAAAATAAATATTCCTTAAAAAAATTATTCTATCTATGTGGTTTTTGAAAGTACTTTTAATAGATCAACATCCTCCTGGATATTTTTATGCACTCATCAGTTTATTTAGAATTACACTTATAACTCACTTGTCAGATTCTCCAAATAATGTCTCTGAGCTATGATTCCTAATGCTTATGTAGAAGGTCCTTTGGTAAAGAAGCTAACAGTGGGATCCACAAATGTATTATTTATTCACTTTTTCACCATTCCCTGAAGCTTACCTTAGTCATGGTAAGTATCTCTTAATCCCTTGTTTTACCTTTTACCTTATATTTTTCCAGTTTATTCATTGTATCCTTTTCTGTCTATCTTTCATATATATTGTAAGCTTTCTGACACAAGATTTTGGATTTTGTCACATAGGTACTCAGTTTTGGAGGTCCCAGGTACTGCTGCTATACTAATAGTAATTGTAAGGCTTGTTATGGCCATCAGTAGACAGTTTCAGAAGTTTCATGTCTCCAGGTGATCACAAAGACTTGAAGTAATGTCAAAACAAGTGTCTTCATAGGTGCATGTAAGAGAGAAAACTGTCTTTTGAGGTGTGGTGTAACAGAGGACATATTCTATTAGGTATGTCTGCATAGCTGGAAATACTTTGGCCAATCTCTGGGACCAAATTAATTTGCCATGCAGTGACATCTCATGACCCAAGCATTTTATAAAATCTTGAAACCACAGCAAATCAACAGAGACGTAATCAACACAGAGTATCTGATTCCATTCAATTGTGTTTCCTCATCAAGTTGTTTCATAATAAAAACAAGATTCAGAACTGGGCAAACTTTAAAAATGTGGCATGTCTGAGAGAAATCCCCTGTGAATTAATATCTATACCATTAACTGTTAACTACAGTAGACTTCTGGCTGAGATCAGATCTCCACCTGTTGTTGAACAAAGTGACAAAGATGTAATATGTGAAGAAATTAAGTTGTCCACACCTTCCTATTCCTGGTAAAGCTAACTACTAATCACCCTTTCTTAAAGCTTAAATCCCAGATTAGTTTAAAAGTTGAGCCTAAGATGTTTGGGTTCTGTTTGTTTTTTTCTTTTTCTATACCACAATTCATCTGTTCAGGCCAAACCTACATTTAGGACAGTAATTTCCTTGAGAATGAAAAACAAATGTTTTGCCAGACTTGAAATGTCTCTTATCACCAGATGGAGATGCTTTTTGGAGGAAAAACATACACATATACATTTTATTTAACTTAAAAATGGATAACCAAATAAAGCAGATATTTCGAGACAGGATAAAAGATAACATATTTGTAGCTACTTTTGTCTAAATTTAGCTTCAAGCCACTCATTTTGCTTCCATCAGTTAAAATACTGTATCAATGTGTCCAGCCTTAGGAAGACCCAGATATTACCTCTACTTCAGAGGATCTCAACTTGGGGATGGGGTTGTTCTTAGTGATCCTGTTTCCCCCAGAGTCCATTTGGATGGGAAACCTCTCTGCCCTCAGAAGGTTTCCTGTAACTCTGAGGTGAGCTCTCAGGGCTTCTTCCATCACAGTACTGAGTACTGCGACTTAAATATATCTGGTCCTTGGTCACAGGCTAGGCAGCATTGTCACCCAGCCAGGCACACTACAAAATTAGTATGATTGCAAAACAGAAGAGATCAGCACCTCCCTCTCCACTTCCCCTCCTCAGGGAGCTGTAGAGAGTGATGAGGTCACCCCTCAGCCTTTTTTCTCCAGACTAGTCAAGCCCAAAGTCCCTAGCTGCTCCTCACAGGACGTTCCTTCCAGCCCTTTCACCAGCTTTGTTGCTGTCCTCTGGACGCATTCAAGGACCTTCACATCCTTCTTAAACTGTGGGGCCCAGAACTGCACACAGTACCCCAGGTGAGGCTGCACCATTACTGAATACGGCAGGATAATCACGTCTTTTAACTAGCTGGTTATATGTGTTTGATGCACCCCAGGATGCAGTTTGCCCTCCTGGCTGCCAGGGCACACTGCTGAGACCTTTTGAGCCTGATATCAACCAGCAACCCCATATCCCTTTCTGTAGGACTGCTTTGCAGTCACTCCTCTCCCAATTTATATTTGTGCCTGGTGTTACACCATCCTAGGTACAGAATCCAGTATTTGAGTTAATAAATTTCATCTCAGTAATCACAGCCCAATGCTCCAATCTACCTAGATCCCTCTGCAAGGCCTTCCCTTCCCTTCCCTTCCCTTCCCTTCCCTTCCCTTCCCTTCCCTTCTTTCCCCTATTGTGCTTTGCTTCACTGTTTAGTCCAATCAATCACAGAAGCAGAGCCAAAGAGGAAAATGAGACTGAGCCAGAACAGGAAGAGAGAGAGAACAGTACAGGAAGGGATGCTGGAAACATATTAGGCCAATTTTCTTCAAAGATGACATTTAAGTGTCCCCATGCAACACCAGCAAAATCTTTCCTACACTCTGGTGGGAAGACTTTCACTTAACCTTATTATTCAAAGTAAGAATCTTAATAGAAACTTTATACAGAAATATAAAGAATTACTGGGAATGTGACTCATTATCTTGCTCTTTCTAGACACTAGGCACAATGATAACAATGTGTGTGGGGAAAAAAGGAATCTGCAAGCCAGTGAACTACACTGCTGCTTTCCTGAGATTGGGACACACTGTTGTGATGTGCTTGAACGTTTCTCTGCCTCAGGGCTGAGAGGCAATACCCTTACTGTCTTCAGGACCATCAGGCTGAGTCTTAAGTCAACACCTTACTTGTCTATGGCACTTTTAAAATACTTTTTATTATTCATCATTAAACACCTTATTTTCTTTACCAGAAAACACAGAATAAGCCAAATAGTCAACTGCAGAAATTATAGACAGAAATAAATCTACAGTTACAGTAATGACTATTTATTCTAAATATCTACTGCTTAACAGTGACCAATCTGTTTTGTGAATGTGCTTAGAAGTACTCTTGACTGAGATGTCAAGCAGTAGATACATGACTGTCTTAAAAGAAGACTCAGCCCAAACTCATTTTTTATGACCTAGCTATAAACCCTTCAAAATAAAGATAAGGTTGAAAAGCTTGATAGACTTCTACCAAGCAGTGTAAGCAGTTCTGCTGCCTCTACTTAAGTGCACATCTAAAACTTATATTACACACAGAAATCAATATTTCATTCTTATGAACCAATAAACTTTTTAGATCAAATAAATTTGCCATTTGCAAATCAATAAATTAAATGTATTTATCAATTTTATGTATGAAACTGTTCTGTGTACTCCAAGCTGTATATGTGTGCAAATCAGCAACATTAATAAATAAATTATCGTGAATGGAATGAACCAATTAGTCTCAGACAGCTATAAACAAACTATTTCTATAAAAAGCAATATGTTCTATACAAAAAATAGTTGAATTATAATGTTTACTTCTTTATTGCATGTAATTTATAGACTGTTTTCTTCCAGCCCCAGTGAGAAACCCTACAGAATTTAATAGAAATAGTTATGTGTGTGCATGTTGGGGAGGGATCATGTGTCTTCTTAAGGATGTACAGTTGCATCTAGTAGAAACTTACAACCCTGGCATAGAATTCTGCAAGAAAATCAAAGGGAAGATGTACAGGTAGGAAATACTTTTAATCAGTTGTTGCATATTTTCACAGCTGAAATATTGCAGAGTTCCAGAAGCAGAGTCTTTTTTCCTGTCCCTCACGATTAGAAGCTGTAATTTGCTGAGGAAATGCTTATCCATCATCTGTCCACATTATTATGAAGTGAAAAGTTATCAGAGAAGATGAAAATACTAGAAATGTTTGCTCCTTGCTTGTGCCAGGATTTCTCAGAAAAGATTCCAGTCTTCTTAAGAGTGCACTCCATTTTCAAGTGACTTTGCTTTCTCCAGAGGGCTGGAGCACCTAGGGTCACCAGATTTGAAGAACTTAAACATATTAAAAGAAAAGTTAACACTGCATGTTTTTTAAGATGGGACAAGTTTTCTGCTCACACAGGACTGGATTTTTTCTGTCCTTTCCATAGCATGCAACCAATACATGAAGTACAGAGAAAAGTTTTCAGGACTATATTATATTTCTCTCTCTCTCCTTGAGACACTTGGGAAACTGTCTGTGAAAAAAAAACCCTGACAATTAAATGAGATTATCCTTGGCCTGCTTTTTAGTTACTAGTAATTTCTTGAAAGGTCTCCATAACTTAAAATATTAATGTTTTTATTAATATAATCTGTAATTACAGTTCTGGTATCTACTGCTGACATATGTTTAATCCTTAGCAATGAGCTTTCTCCCCATGACTGTCCCTCTCAGTTCTGTTCTGTGACTGTGTTTTTTCAAATGCTAAATTACCTGGATTTATTTTTCTTAAATAGTGTGTTAGATAAACAGTTTTTATATGATTTTTATTGGATACTATATGGGTCAGGGTGAAGTATAATAATGAATCTTATTATGGGTTATGAACGGAGCTTGTGAGTTGAAAACAATTTTGTCTTTCATCTCCGTGTTGCCAGCCCCCTCTAGCTTTTCACAAGAGAGATTCTCAGATGTTGAGGGCCAGTGAGCGTGCCTGAATGGGAGAGCAAAACAAAGCAAATGATCACAAGGTCTGCCTGTGAATGATAAAGGTAAAAGAGAGGGAATGTACAAAGTCTGAAAAGCAATGTCAGATTTGTGACACCTGGAGAAAAGTTATGTTAATTCCAGAGGGTGCAGAGAGCACCAAGGAAAGGTTAGACTCATGATGGAT